TATCTATTTATTCACCATTCTCTATTTCAGTACTGTTCATACTATGTCATATTGTATATACTGTATACCAATACACCTACCTCAGGTCATAAGGTCATAGGTCTTTGCACTATGCTCCATCACACTGTGTACATGTATGTGTATGTGTACCTGTATATCATATCCACCTTCAACATGTACATAATGAGAATAATAGTTTACTCTTGCATCCTTTGCACTGTGATCACCTCACTATTTGATTATTTCAATATGTCTATATTGTTTTGTTCATAGTGTGTATATTAGTGTTGTCTATACTGTAGTTTGTGTCTGATTTTATTTTATTATTGTGTTATGGTATTTTTGTACGAGTAAGCACATCATGAGAAATGTACAATCCTGAGTCAAATTCCTCGTATGCGTACACATACCTGGCAATAAAGCTGATTCTGATTCTGATACTTCATGCATGGAGCATTCAGTGATGTGTGATGTTGATCTTCAGTTACCAAAACCAATGTAATGTCAAACATTGTTTTATTTTAATCATGAAAGGGAAAATAACATAGACATGCGTACTATACTACTATACATTTAATTTGCTTGGTATAACATGATGCATTATCAATAACTTGTGAATCACAACACATGTTTACATTAAATGGTACGTTTACGACCCTATAGGGTCATATATTTGTGTGTTATATTTGTGTGTTCTGTGTTGCTCCTCACTCTCTGCTGCCTCTCTAGTTGTCCTTCCCCCCTTGCCTCTGCTGCCTGAGTGAGCAGCAGCAGATGTGCCTGATTGCTGCTTAGTCACTGGAGTTTCTGCACTTTCTTCTTGTGAGAAAGTAGTTTTTGGTTGGAGGTTTGCACTTTATTTCTCTTTATATTTGTGCGTACCTCACTCTGGTTTCCTGTCCTCTTTTGCCCTGGTTTTATTTTAAACAGTGTTCCTCTCCTCCTCCCCCGGGACTTACTGTCCGAAGGAACATAACAGGTACCAAATAGGAGCATAAACATTTTCTCATCACACATATAATAATCGGAACAGCATTCTGCTAAATAATATCAACGAAAGAAGTGAGAGTGGTGTATTGAGAAAGCAGCTACTGTGTAAGCAGAAGTGAATGAATGTGTGCAAATATTATACTACTAGTTACTAGTAGTTATTACAGTAATCAAAGTCATCATTTTAAATAATAAAAACAATCATTGACAGGGAAAGATTATTTATTAAATCCACTTTAGGCATAAATTTGGAAGTTCATGATCAAGAAGGCAGGTCAAAATGTCTTTATATTATAAGAGGCAAAATCATCTAGCTCAGCCTGAGAGTGTCAATGCCACAGAATAATAAGCCCGACAGCTGATTAAATCCACTTTAGGCATAAATTTGGAAGTTCATGATATTTGTTTCAGTGTGAAATGCCAAACAGAATCTCTTAAAGGAAAAAAATGCAGTTAAAAGGAACAATTTAGGAAAGCACTTGATGAAAAACTTACTATAATAAACAACAATGTCCTATTGAAAATAAACTGCAAATGTCGTGGACTTATTTGAGGTATTTAAATGACTATGCGTGTGGGAAAGTGGTAATTTCTAATGTAAGTTTCAAATATTGGTTAAAAAAGTCACAGAATAATAAGCCCGACAGCTGGAATGAATTACATATTAATGCTCCCAAAAATCTGCCAGTAAACTAATTTCTCTTAGTTTACTTGCAGACAACATTGCCTGGCTGTTGATTGCTGTATCTCTGATAATGGACAGGGCGACAGATGTTTTCAACTTTGTCACATGCAACAACCACCTTGTGTTGGCGACGTTTTGCAGATGAAACTTTGCAAACACTTCCACTCATATTGGAGCAAACATCATATACAGTCAGGACTGAGTTGCTGATGCACAAGTTACCATTCGGTCCAGTAGCACCTCGTACTTGCCGTCCACCACCTCTACAGATCTGATCAACTTGGCTTGCAGCAGCTTTGATGAAAGACTGCACTGGAGTTCTGCCACAGAGTCTCTTCTTCACTAGGTACCTGTGTAATGAGATCAATGTTTTACTGCATAGTTTTGAGTCCAACTTTTAGCTGTCACATTGCCACATGTTCCTGCTGTTGACTGTGGACATTTTCAACCTAGTTTGTTCCCTGTGGTACGAATCAACGGATGACTTGTTAAACTTGTTACATTTTCTACCTTGTTTGGTGTCTTTTCACACAGAAAGATATTAATGTGAAGTATAATGCATCACTAAACACCACGTGAGAACTTTGGCTTCACTCACTGGTTAGAAGAGTCTGGGACGAGAGCAAGAAAGTAAACACTGGAAGAAGATCCTGAAAATTTTAAGAAGGCAGCATACTTTAACTGGACTGAACGACGCAGGTTTGAAAACCTAACCTAAACCTTAACTCTAACATGCACAAAATATATTATAATATATATATGAGTTATTAAAGAGTATTAAAGTAGATTGTCCAACATCATTGCATGTGGATAGTACAACACAGTGAAAATTAACCTGCTGAGAACACAGATTTCAAAATGAGAAAATGAATGTGATAAAACAAGCTGCAGCTCATGCAATCAGAGTCAGAATCAGATTACTCAGATGGCAGTGGATGTTAACTATTTAGAAAACCATACTTATGTTGCATCCAGAGTCAAATATAGCACTGATATATTGTAGAATTAGGAGGAATCACATTTTACCGCAAAAAAGCAACATTTACTTATTCTTTCAAAATGAAATAATTGAATTAAACTTGTAATTCACCTTTGCCAATCCTGTGGAGAACTATAGTCGAAGTAGTCATCAAGGATGTGTCTCTGGAGAAATTCATTGTATCTTTGGTTGTTTGTCGTCATCTGACAGGGCAGTACAAAGGGTGCCAAGTTGCTGGTCCTGCGGTTGCCTTTAGAAAACGCTCCTTGCCCATTGTAAGCAAGGGCTACAGTGAAGATCATGGCAGTCAGGAGGATGACGTTCATTTTGTCTAGAATGAGTTATGAAAATAATCATAATCACACTGGCCTGAAACTTTTTGAGATAGTGTTTTGATATTTTATATACAGTCTTTTGTCTTTGGCTACTCTTGTGTGTCTGATGTAGTCCCACCATAAGTCTTGTGTTAGTTCTCTATATATTGGGCCTCACATCTAGTATCTTTGATACTACTGTCATATATAGATTTACAGGACTGATGATGAGTGAACTTTTCTAAATTAAAAATGAGTCCACAATTATTCCATCTTTTCACAAACTCAGTACTGAACTGTAGCAGTGAACATGTTCTTGGTTGTTACTGGAATATTAGGTATTGTAATGTTAGTTAGTATATGTATCTACTATCATCTTCATCTGAACCTGGCATACTGTATACTGTTTTTTTTGTTTGTTTTTTTTAATGTCATTGTTGTTTGAATATGATGAGTGAAAGTGTGTCTATATATTTAACTGTAAGTGTCTCTGTATCTATTTGTAACTGCACTGCTGCCACTTGCCAGGACACTCTTGTAGAAGAGATTTTTAATCTCAAGGAGTTTTTTTATCCTGGATAAATAAAGGTTTGAATGAATGAACTTTTTAGGTTTCCACAGCATTTTCAGTGGACAAGACACTACAGAAAAATACTCCATATGATTTGTACAGGTTCAAAATGCATTAAATTGATTTGACAGATAGAGAGAGATGTTTTCTTACCTTTCTTTGTTACTGTGTTAGTCTGGAGGGGATCAACATCAGCTGATGTTGAAGTTTTGAAAGAATGCTTCCTATTTAAACCCCCCCCCCATGTCTTGTGAACATTCGATCACAACCAATCATTTTAGGCCCAAACAAAAACCAAAACAATGTCAGAGCAATGCTTACTCTTGACCCCACATTAGGTTGCATAATGTCTACACGTTGTGCGCAATTCAACAAAAGAGTGATGTTTCCTTCACAGATTATTTTATTATAATATTTCCAGGAGTGTACTTTGTCTTTCTTAATTTTATTATCTTCTTGTGACCACTCAGACTTATTTTAGAAATCCAGACTCCTAGGTTAGGAAGCAGAGCAGATCTTCTTCAAATTTCTCAAACTGTACACATTCACCTAGAAACTTTGAATTTTTGGCTCTTGACGCAACAGTGGAGAAAGTTTTAAAAGTAATTTTTGAATTTCGAAAACAAAACAAAAAAAACACCCAAAACAAAAACACAACATAAAAGCTATGGCTGGCCAAGAGAAAGCGATGTGAGAAAAGACAGAGTAGGTGTAACTGTGGCTTTCAGTTACATCAACACATACAGTTTCAAACATGTTTTATTATTTTATTTTTACCAAAATCATTAAAAACACTGAAAAAGAATATGGAATATTTCCCAAGGAACAGTTATATTCACAATGTCTATTCACAAATTGTTGAACAGGTATAAAGGTGTCTGTAAAACTGAGTTAAAACCAGAAAGTGGAAAGAGTGTCCGCCTAATGCCGATATGAGCTATAGATGAATAACAGTAAAGAACAAACTATAGATATAATTATATATTGTTTAAAACGGTGAGGAATTACACGCATACATACATTTTGATGTAGATACATTTTGAAAAATGCCAGCAATCTCTTACACATATATAGCGCACAAAAATTAACATTAAACAAAACCCAAACTCATAAAGTCTTCATCTACGGATGATTAAGAATGTCTTGTTTAAGAAAAAAGAAAAGAATGTCTAAACTTGAAAAACAATCTCCAATGTTGACCAGGCCAGAAAACCCTTCAGTGGTCATGAAATCATTTAACAGTATAATGTTACTGTACACCTCAAACTCACATTGATTGTTGCATTATAACTTTCAGTGCACCAGTAACACTTCATATAACTCCTACGGCTTTTTCACATCAGAGATAATGACTTGTGTTGCAACCTTTCAAAAACATGCAAAGTGCACTCATGTTGCTTCATGAGTTTCTTCTTCTTTTTGTTTACTGATAACTTTTTATGGGAAGTAATAATAATAATAATAATCCTTATTTGTAGAGCACTTTTTAAAAAAACAAGTTACAAAGTACTTTAACAAGTGTAAAGACAATAATACAAAAAACACTACAAGATAAAAGCATGAAAACATAGTAGTAGAGTGTTACTGATAAATTAAGGAACCTAGCAAGGTTTATTGTGGCTTCTGCATGCATCACAGAGAGATGTTGCTGCTCTTTTCATTTGCCACATTTTGTTTTAGAAAACTGGAAATCTGTAGACTCTGTAATAATAAATATTGAGGTCAATTTCAATTGTCTAGAAATTTAGTTTTTTAAACAATTTTGTAACAGCTCCTGGACAACTTCTCAGCATCTGGCAATATGTACTCCAAATATTTTTTATAAAATGTTACAAAATACTAGGCTCTATCTGAAAAACACTCGTAACAGACTAAACATTTCCACATCTAACTGTGGATCAGACAATAATATCAGAACTCAGACATGATTTAAAAAAAAAAACAGTCATCTTATGTTTATTTCAAAGGGTCTTGAGCTTTGCCTTCAGGCAGGTGAATTGCCTTCCTTTGTAATGTCTTTAGTCTAGAACATCTACATAGCATACAGTCTGATATCTAGAGTCAAAATGTGGAAAAATCACCATTTTATCCTGTTTAAAGATTCAAGTTTTGAGTCACACACCTGCAAATGTGGGGATCCTCTTGAGTTCTGTGAAAAAGTAAATCATATTAAAACAAGTGACTATAAATTAAATACTGACCTTTATAAATTTCAGGTGTACTCACCAACGGAAGAGAGATTTTCTAATTTCTGGTGAATTTGCTCCATCATGTTTGATGTTGTAGTTCTTAGTGTACCAAAGGAGAATGAAGTGTCAACAGCTACATTATTCCAATCCCGAGATTCATCCAGGCCTGTTAGAAGAGAAACCTGTGTGTGTGTGTGAGAGAGAGTGTGTAAGGGAGAAATGTGACATTGTCAGTATATAAAATGATTTGAATTAATCTGAAATATACAGACTTGTTGATGATATATTTAACTTGCAATGAACGTGAACGTAAATGTTGAGGCTTTATTTCAGCAATGTAGATGTCTTCTTGGAGCACAAAAAAGTAATTATACTGGTTTAGCTTCCCCTAGATCTGATATTGCCTGACCTGCAGCAGAGTAGAAGCATTATGACTTACATAAATGATAAAAAGGCCAGAGGTCTGGATGTCAGAGTCCCGGGCTCACCCGCAAATCTGGATTTTTGTCCAACACATCAATGGTCTTTTTGAGTTCGTCAATTTCCTTTTGTAGTTTCTGGACCAGATCTCGTGCTTCTCTCTTTAGGGTCTGTCTCCTAAAAATAATGTACAGTACATTAGGCAGTTTAATAAAATGTAAAGTACCATGACTGCATACAGTACATTCTTATCACTGATGACTCACTAACTGTGGAGTTGTTGTTACAGTGGTGTGAAAATGTGTTTGCCCCCTTCCTGATTTCTTAGTGTTTTGCATCTATGTCACACTGAAATGTTTCAGATCATCAAAACATTTTAGTTTTAGACAAATATAACCGGAGTAAATACAAAAAGCCGTTTTTACAAGAGGATTTTATTTATTATGGGAAAAAAGCTATCCAAACCTACCTGGCCCTATGTGAAAAAGTAATTGCACCCTAAACCTAATAACTGGTTGTGCCACTCTTGGCAGGAACAACTGCCATCAAGAGTTTTCCGTCATTCGCAATGAGTCTTTCACATCTCTGGAAAGGAATTTATGACAACTCTTCTTTTCAGAAAAAGGAGTCTCAGACTATTTCAACACACACAATCATGCAGAAGGTAAAGAGAACTGTTGCAGCATGTATCAGATCACTCACCATCACTAAATTATGTTTATGTGTGAGTGAGGAGTGTAAATGAGTGTTTGTGAAGACACTACTTGCTCATGGACCTGGCATACTGTATACTGTAAAGGCTAGAAACTTTAAAAGTTAAGGGTGGATGGTCTGGAAACTTCAGAGAAAATGCCAGGCCAAGAGAAAGCAAGAACTTCTGAAACTGATGTGATAAAAGACAGAGTTGGTGTAACTGTGGCTTTCAATTACATCAACACATACAGTTTCAAACATATTTTATTATTTTATTTTGACCAAAATCATTAAAAACACTGAAAAAGAATTTTGAAAAAAATATAGAAAATATTTCCCAAGTAACAGTTATATTCACGTTGTCTATTCACAAAGTGTTAAACAGGTATAAAAGTGTCTGAGTTAAAACCAGAAAGTGGAAAGAGTGTCCGCCTAATGCCGATATGAGCTATAGATGAATAACAGTAAAGAGCAAACTATAGATATAAACACATTGTTTGAAACGGTGAGGAATTACACACATACATTTTGACGTAGATACATTTTGAAAAATGCCAGCAATCTCTTACACATATATAGCACACAAAATTAACATTAAACAAAACCCAAACTCATAAAGTCTTCATCTACGGATGATTAAGAATGTCTTGTTTAAGAAAAAAGAAAAGAATGTCTAAACTTGAAAAACAATCTCCGATGTTGACCAGGCCAGAAAACCCTTCAGTGGTCATGAAATCATTTAACAGTAAAATGTTACTGTACACCTCAAACTCACATTGATTGTTGCATTATAACTTTCAGTGCACCAGTAACACTTCATATGACTCCTACGGCTTTTTCACATCAGAGATAATCAGGGGATCAGAGTTTAACTCATTTTGAATAAGATGTGGACTGAAATATGGGAAAACTTCACCACTGAACGAACACTCAGTAAACGAGTAGAAGTGAGATTGAGCCGTCACATCGTAGAAGGACACAAGACCTTCCTCGTAATCCACAAACACTCCCACCTTGATTTCATGCATGAAAAAGCATGAATTAATTCAGGCCAAACAACTGACCAGTGGTGTAGTAATGTTTGCAATTATCATTACAACACTTGGAATTCAACAGAATGCCATGTGTTGCAACCTTTCAAAAACATGCAAAGTGCACTCATGTTGCTTCATGAGTTTCTTCTTCTTTTTGTTTACTGATAACTTTTTATGGGAAGTAATAATAATAATAATAATCCTTATTTGTAGAGCACTTTTTAAAAAAACAAGTTACAAAGTACTTTAACAAGTGTAAAGACAATAATACAAAAAACACTACAAGATAAAAGCATGAAAACATAGTAGTAGAGTGTTACTGATAAATTAAGGAACCTAGCAAGGTTTATTGTGGCTTCTGCATGCATCACAGAGAGATGTTGCTGCTCTTTTCATTTGCCACATTTTGTTTTAGAAAACTGGAAATCTGTAGACTCTGTAATAATAAATATTGAGGTCAATTTCAATTGTCTAGAAATTTAGTTTTTTAAACAATTTTGTAACAGCTCCTGGACAACTTCTCAGCATCTGGCAATATGTACTCCAAATATTTTTTATAAAATGTTACAAAATACTAGGCTCTATCTGAAAAACACTCGTAACAGACTAAACATTTCCACATCTAACTGTGGATCAGACAATAATATCAGAACTCAGACATGATTTAAAAAAAAAACAGTCATCTTATGTTTATTTCAAAGGGTCTTGAGCTTTGCCTTCAGGCAGGTGAATTGCCTTCCTTTGTAATGTCTTTAGTCTAGAACATCTACATAGCATACAGTCTGATATCTAGAGTCAAAATGTGGAAAAATCACCATTTTATCCTGTTTAAAGATTCAAGTTTTGAGTCACACACCTGCAAATGTGGGGATCCTCTTGAGTTCTGTGAAAAAGTAAATCATATTAAAACAAGTGACTATAAATTAAATACTGACCTTTATAAATTTCAGGTGTACTCACCAACGGAAGAGAGATTTTCTAATTTCTGGTGAATTTGCTCCATCATGTTTGATGTTGTAGTTCTTAGTGTACCAAAGGTGAATGAAGTGTCAACAGCTACATTATTCCAATCCCGAGATTCATCCAGGCCTGTTAGAAGAGAAACCTGTGTGTGTGTGAGAGAGAGTGTGTGTAAGGGAGAAATGTGACATTGTCAGTATATAAAATGATTTGAATTAATCTGAAATATACAGACTTGTTGATGATATATTTAACTTGCAATGAACGTGAACGTAAATGTTGAGGCTTTATTTCAGCAATGTAGATGTCTTCTTGGAGCACAAAAAAGTAATTATACTGGTTTAGCTTCCCCTAGATCTGATATTGCCTGACCTGCAGCAGAGTAGAAGCATTATGACTTACATAAATGATAAAAAGGCCAGAGGTCTGGATGTCAGAGTCCCGGGCTCACCTGCAAATCTGGATTTTTGTCCAACACATCAATGGTCTTTTTGAGTTCGTCAATTTCCTTTTGTAGTTTCTGGACCAGATCTCGTGCTTCTCTCTTTAGGGTCTGTCTCCTAAAAATAATGTACAGTACATTAGGCAGTTTAATAAAATGTAAAGTACCATGACTGCATACAGTACATTCTTATCACTGATGACTCACTAACTGTGGAGTTGTTGTTACAGTGGTGTGAAAATGTGTTTGCCCCCTTACTGATTTCTTAGTGTTTTGCATCTTTGTCACACTGAAATGTTTCAGATCATCAAAACATTTTAGTTTTAGACAAATATAACCGGAGTAAATACAAAAAGCCGTTTTTACAAGAGGATTTTATTTATTATGGGAAAAAAGCTATCCAAACCTACCTGGCCCTATGTGAAAAAGTAATTGCACCCTAAACCTAATAACTGGTTGTGCCACTCTTGGCAGGAACAACTGCCATCAAGAGTTTTCCGTCATTCGCAATGAGTCTTTCACATCTCTGGAAAGGAATTTATGACAACTCTTCTTTTCAGAAAAAGGAGTCTCAGACTATTTCAACACACACAATCATGCAGAAGGTAAAGAGAACTGTTGCAGCATGTATCAGATCACTCACCATCACTAAATTATGTTTATGTGTGAGTGAGGAGTGTAAATGAGTGTTTGTGAAGACGCTACTTGCTCATGGACCTGGCATACTGTATACTGTAAAGGCTAGAAACTTTAAAAGTTAAGGGTGGATGGTCTGGAAACTTCAGAGAAAATGCCAGGCCAAGAGAAAGCAAGAACTTCTGAAACTGATGTGATAAAAGACAGAGTTGTGTAACTGTGGCTTTCAATTACATCAACACATACAGTTTCAAACATATTTTATTATTTTATTTTGACCAAAATCATTAAAAACACTGAAAAAGAATTTTGAAAAAAATATAGAAAATATTTCCCAAGTAACAGTTATATTCACGTTGTCTATTCACAAAGTGTTAAACAGGTATAAAAGTGTCTGAGTTAAAACCAGAAAGTGGAAAGAGTGTCCGCCTAATCCGATATGAGCTATAGATGAATAACAGTAAAGAGCAAACTATAGATATAAACACATTGTTTGAAACGGTGAGGAATTACACACATACATTTTGACGTAGATACATTTTGAAAAATGCCAGCAATCTCTTACACATATATAGCACACAAAAATTAACATTAAACAAAACCCAAACTCATAAAGTCTTCATCTACGGATGATTAAGAATGTCTTGTTTAAGAAAAAAGAAAAGAATGTCTAAACTTGAAAAACAATCTCCGATGTTGACCAGGCCAGAAAACCCTTCAGTGGTCATGAAATCATTTAACAGTATAATGTTACTGTACACCTCAAACTCACATTGATTGTTGCATTATAACTTTCAGTGCACCAGTAACACTTCATATAACTCCTACGGCTTTTTCACATCAGAGATAATCAGGGGATCAGAGTTTAACTCATTTTGAATAAGATGTGGACTGAAATATGGGAAAACTTCACCACTGAACGAACACTCAGTAAACGAGTAGAAGTGAGATTGAGCCGTCACATCGTAGAAGGACACAAGACCTTCCTCGTAATCCACAAACACTCCCACCTTCTGAGGTTTCACTGTCAGGGACAGGCTGACGGTGGTGCTGTCAGGGCTGCGTACTTTTCATCTTCATAATGTACAGTAACCCAGTAACCATTATCTGGGGTCAGCGAGAGTTTCCCTTTGCGGTTTGCATCACGTCTTGCCACACCCAGATCCCATCCTGTCTTTTTACTGACATCCACCTCCCAGTATGACTTTCCAGAGGACAACCTGTTGAGCCCAAGGACGCTGCCAAACATGTCAAACCTCTCTGGAGCATCAGGAACTTTCTGGTTCTTTGCTCCATCCCTCACTTTCTTCCCATCGGCAGAAAGAACAAGGCATCGATGTGCAGTGGTTGGGTCCAGCTTTACATCCACTGCAGTTGAACAGAAAACAATAGAATAATGGAAATAGAATCATGTTGCACTACATAGAGAGACCTTTCGGTGTCGATGAAAAACGCCTAAATATATAAAAACTTAGTCATTTTAACTACCATGATTTCAAACCATGTTTCTGGAAACCTAAAAAAAACTTAAGGATAGCATTGATTAGAAACAGTTACAACTGAAAGGCACAGACAAATGTCACTGCATATATCCTTGACGTCTAACAAACACGAAGAATTCATTTCTTCCTGGTAAAACATTTTCAAATTGTTCTTAAAAGTTTGAAACCGGCATTGATTGGGCTCATTTATGAAGGCTTTGCTATTATAATGGCGGATGAACGGCCGTTAGTAAAACCATCAATTGACTGATTGAATGGGAGACTCACAGCAGAGAGGGGAATATGGACGTGATATAAAAACTGTCTCTGATCATGAAGCCTAATGTTTAAGATTTTTCCCCCGCTGTCTCTTCTGACTGACTACTTTCTGTGACACTTTGTGGCAGGGTTACATAAATTATCTTGATTTCATGCATGAAAAAGCATGAATTAATTCAGGCCAAACAACTGACCAGTGGTGTAGTAATGTTTGCAATTATCATTACAACACTTGGAATTCAACAGACTGCCATGTGTTGCAACCTTTCAAAAACATGCAAAGTGCACTCATGTTGCTTCATTGACCTGTCCCTAACCTGAGTTTCTTCTTCTTTTTGTTTACTGATAACTTTTTATGGGAAGTGGTAGAGTGTTACTGATAAATTAAGGAACCTAGCAAGGTTTATTGTGGCTTCTGCATGCATCACAGAGAGATTTTGCAATTATCTAGAAATTTAGTTTTTTGTCTGAGTATCCTGAGTCCTAATGCCGATATGAGCTATAGATGAATAACAGTAAAGAGCAAACTATAGATATAAACACATTGTTTAAAATGGTGAGGAATTACACGCATACATACATTTTGAAGTAGATACATTTTGAAAAATGCCAGCAATCTCTTACACATATATAGCACACAAAAATTAACATTAAACAAAACCCAAACTCATAAAGTCGTCTACGGATGATTAAGAATGTCTTGTTTAAGAAAAAAGAAAAGAATGTCTAAACTTGAAAAACAATCTCCGATGTTGACCAGGCCAGAAAACCCTTCAGTGGTCATGAAATCATTTAACAGTATAATGTTACTGTACACCTCAAACTCACATTGATTGTTGCATTATAACTTTCAGTGCACCAGTAACACTTCATATAACTCCTACGGCTTTTTCACATCAGAGATAATCAGGGGATCAGAGTTTAACTCATTTTGAATAAGATGTGGACTGAAATATGGGAAAACTTCACCACTGAACGAACACTCAGTAAACGAGTAGAAGTGAGATTGAGCCGTCACATCGTAGAAGGACACAAGACCTTCCTCGTAATCCACAAACACTCCCACCTTGATTTCATGCATGAAAAAGCATGAATTAATTCAGGCCAAACAACTGACCAGTGGTGTAGTAATGTTTGCAATTATCATTACAACACTTGGAATTCAACAGAATGCCATGTGTTGCAACCTTTCAAAAACATGCAAAGTGCACTCATGTTGCTTCATGAGTTTCTTCTTCTTTTTGTTTACTGATAACTTTTTATGGGAAGTAATAATAATAATAATAATAATCCTTATTTGTAGAGCACTTTTTAAAAAAACAAGTTACAAAGTACTTTAACAAGTGTAAAGACAATAATACAAAAAACACTACAAGATAAAAGCATGAAAACATAGTAGTAGAGTGTTACTGATAAATTAAGGAACCTAGCAAGGTTTATTGTGGCTTCTGCATGCATCACAGAGAGATGTTGCTGCTCTTTTCATTTGCCACATTTTGTTTTAGAAAACTGGAAATCTGTAGACTCTGTAATAATAAATATTGAGGTCAATTTCAATTGTCTAGAAATTTAGTTTTTTAAACAATTTTGTAACAGCTCCTGGACAACTTCTCAGCATCTGGCAATATGTACTCCAAATATTTTTTATAAAATGTTACAAAATACTAGGCTCTATCTGAAAAACACTCGTAACAGACTAAACATTTCCACATCTAACTGTGGATCAGACAATAATATCAGAACTCAGACATGATTTAAAAAAAAAAACAGTCATCTTATGTTTATTTCAAAGGGTCTTGAGCTTTGCCTTCAGGCAGGTGAATTGCCTTCCTTTGTAATGTCTTTAGTCTAGAACATCTACATAGCATACAGTCTGATATCTAGAGTCAAAATGTGGAAAAATCACCATTTTATCCTGTTTAAGATTCAAGTTTTGAGTCACACACCTGCAAATGTGGGGATCCTCTTGAGTTCTGTGAAAAAGTAAATCATATTAAAACAAGTGACTATAAATTAAATACTGACCTTTATAAATTTCAGGTGTACTCACCAACGGAAGAGAGATTTTCTAATTTCTGGTGAATTTGCTCCATCATGTTTGATGTTGTAGTTCTTAGTGTACCAAAGGAGAATGAAGTGTCAACAGCTACATTATTCCAATCCCGAGATTCATCCAGGCCTGTTAGAAGAGAAACCTGTGTGTGTGTGAGAGAGAGTGTGTGTAAGGGAGAAATGTGACATTGTCAGTATATAAAATGATTTGAATTAATCTGAAATATACAGACTTGTTGATGATATATTTAACTTGCAATGAACGTGAACGTAAATGTTGAGGCTTTATTTCAGCAATGTAGATGTCTTCTTGGAGCACAAAACAGTAATTATACTGGTTTAGCTTCCCCTAGATCTGATATTGTCTGACCTGCAGCAGAGTAGAAGCATTATGACTTACATAAATGATAAAAAGGCCAGAGGTTTGGATGTCAGAGTCTCGGGCTCACCTGCAAATCTGGATTTTTGTCCAACACATCAATGGTCTTTTTGAGTTTGTCAATTTCCTTTTGCAGTTTCTGGACCAGATCTCGTGCTTCTCTCTTTAGGATCTGTCTCCTAAAAATAATGTACAGTACATTAGGCAGTTTAATAAGCATGAACTGCCTGTTTAAGGTCATGCCACACTATCCCAATTGGATTTAAATCTGGACTTTGACTAGGCCACTCCAAAAGCTTCATTTTGTTTTGTTTTTTGAGCCATTCAGAGGTGGACTTGCTGATGTGTTTCAGAAAATTGTGAGTGCACTTGTACTTGAGGTAGAGAGCAGAATTCATGGTTCCATCAATTATAGCAAGTCGTCCAGGTCATGAAGCAGCAAAGCAGCCCCAGAACATCACACTACCACGGCCATGTTTGACTGCTGTTATGATGTTCTTTTTATTAAATGCTGTGTTGATTTTACGCTAGATTTAACAGGACGCACACCTTTCAAAAAGTTAAACATTTGTCTCGTCATTTCACAAAATATTTTCCTTAAAGTCTTGGGGATCATTAAGATGTATTTCAGCAGTGGTTTCCGCCTTGAAACTCTCCCACAGATGCCATTTTTGCCCAGTCTCTTTCTTATTGTTGAATCATGGACACTGATCTTAACTGTTGTTGATGCGCTCTTGGAGTAATTTTGGTAGGCTGGCCACTCGTGGGAAGGCTCACCACTGTTCCAAGTTTTCTCTATTTGTGGATCATGGCTCTCACCGTGGTTTGCTGGAGTCCCAAAGCCTTAGAAATGGCAATTGTAACTCTTCCTAGACTGATAGGTGTAAACAACTTTGTTTCTCATCTGTTTCTTTATATCATGGGATGTGATGTGTTGCTTTTTCAGATCTTTTAGCCTACTTCACTTTGTCAGAAATGTTATATTTTGATGATTCAACAGGTCTGGCAGTAAGCAGGCCTGGGTGTGGCAAATTAAATTGAACCCAGCTTTCCAAAAAAAGGTTGTTTATATTAAAAATTGTTTGATGATCTGAAATATTTTGGTGTGACAAAGGAAAGGAGCAAAGACTTTTTCACAGCACTGTATATCACAGTTACTGGTTTATACCGACCTCTCCTCGAGAGGTTGAAGGGCTTTCTGCCGAGCGTCCTCCACCACTCTCGACACCTCTGAGAACACATTGTTGATCTCCAGCCATTCAGTATCCAAGCTGCCCTGAAAGGAGCAATAGACAGTGACGATGTTAAAAAAATATTTATCAAAACCAAAATTAAAAAGTTTAAAAAACCTGCTGCAGGTTACCTTGCTGGCCTTTACAGAGGATCTGACTTCAGCAATCTTTTGTTGTCTCATCTGGATTTTCTGTTGTAAATCAGCACTTATCCTGTCTTGCCTTGCCTGGATGAAGACAAAAAGCACTTACATTAGTATGCACATGTAAGTACTGACAGCATTGCTGAATGAAAAGTGGACTGATGAAGCCTGTATCCAATAAACACTGAGTGGATAAATTTGAGGTGTTTAAAAGATTACAAAGTTTAAAATACCCAATACAGTCTAACAAGACTAAGAGTTTTCAGCCATGCTAGCATTTAGATTTTTTTGTTCCTTCATTCCTTCTGATTATTAAAAGTTTTGTTAACATTTGTGGTAAAAGCGGATGAATTATCTTGATTTCATGAATGAAAAAGCGTGTATGCTGTTGTACATACATGTATATCATCTAACACACGGTATACATTGCCGTTTAAGAATGAAAGGCTTTAGAATGCTTGTGGGCAACCTATGTGCTGCTTCTTCTGTTGAAGTTATCCAGCCACTCAGGGCCAGCCAACCCATTCTTTAACTATATTTTAAGTTGTTTTTTCAGGTGGGTAAAATCACAAAGCACTTCACATCTTATTAGTAGTGTACTGTTGAGACAATGAGATAAATGTGAAGAAAAGGACACTGGAAGCAATTGGTTCTGGTTCTTGGGGGGCCTTCATAGATACTGTTTGACTGCCTGAGACATATACAAGCCATATAGTAAAATCACCCGTGCTTTAACTCTTTAACTGTGTTTTAAGACTGATAATTGTTGACTTCTTAGCTCAGATTGCAGAAGTACAAAATTAAAGTAAGAAAGATGTTTTCCTTGATATACTGTTTTATATTTTAATAATATTTATTTTAATGTGTCGTCGCAGTCTTTTGTGTTCTGACTCTTGCTTGGCCTCCAGAGACCCATGGTTGTACATGATCACATTTCAGATTAGATGTTGATCCAGTAAAGACGAAGTGAAAGTCCGCTCTTGCTGGCAATTCGACCCTTCTGATTAAAAACGAATATCTCACACACATGAGTAAAGGCGTGAAATGAGGTGTGAAAATAAGAAGAGTGTCAAGAGTTTTCATTTTTTAAATCCATATTGTTTGAATTTATAATATTCATTAATACATTTTAAAACTTGTTTTTTGAGATAACATATTTATCCATATTATGTATCCCCTGATGATGAATAATTGGTTTGATCATCAAAGAAGGCACTTTTTACTAATGTGACATCAACAGTTGTGAAGAGACAAGCATCTTCATTTTGTGACTATAGGAGCAGGGGAGGCTTTTGAAGTCAGAAAGAGATGAGGAGAATAGAATGAGTGTTGACATGAATTAATTTAAAGTATTCTGCATTTGGAGTGATACATTTAAAACAGACTTTCATTTGTGCATGCTTTTAAGATTATGTAAGAGAAGAGATGTTCATTTATTTTGTTTGAGAAGTGTGGCCTACTATGTTTGGCCTTTATGCGTTAAACATTTAAAGGATTATACTAACATGAGTTAGAGAGACCTGCATGATATGTTTTATTACCTTATTTGGAGAATTGTTTCTGAACTGAGGCAAAGGTGTGTTACAATTACTGGACAGAAGGACCATCTACCCATAAAAGGAAAAGTAATGTAAAAACCAATCAATGTGATGATCAAGTGCTAATAGCCAATGATTGTTTGATAAAAGGGTGGGGTCCTCCCTGTCTATTTCTTCATGTAAGTTGCTGACCTTAGAGCTCTGCGCGAACTTTTTGGGGCTTGTTAAAATTACATAAGTTTCTCTTTGGGCGGATGCCTTAAGAAAACTAGAAATTATCATCTAATTAATGTCTTCATTTTCTTCCCCCTCTTCTGGTCTGGTAAGTTAGTATTTACTTACTTTAACATCAACACTGCCTACATTAACACACCTCATTACAGATAACCAGCAAACTGTTCATTTCAGGTTATGTGTTCAGTGCCCTACTCTCTGAAATCTTAAGCGAGAGAGGAGGAGGGTTTGACTAGGGAACTTGAAATTCAATACAGACGGTCAGGCCAGTATCTAGTTTGTTATCAGAGGTTGCCCTTTTTCCTAAGTAGTATCTGAATTCATAATGCACTAAGGGCGCCTGGAGATGGTGACCCGAGGGAGCGGGGTTCCTTGTTTTGGGCCACTTGTTGCTACAGTACCCTTACTGACGTAGTTGTCATGCCTGTGTAGAACTGCACTGTATTTAGTTAGGTTACATTGTTTCAGTTAGCTACCAGCTAAGATTAGCTTAGCTTAATTTACACATTAACCGTGAAGACCTAAAGACCTTAACCAAACACTTGTCAGATCTTTCAGCCAGTTAACGTGGACTTACTGAAAGAATAACCTTATTAAATATGGTGCATAGCCCACAAGCTGAGGGCACATGCTCACACGGACAAAGCGAACATGCAAATATCCGCTATTACTCTAATACTAAATAACTGCCACATTGTTTATTTTCTTTAAACATAGTTCTATTATTCTTCTACAATTTGCATCTGTTTATTCCATATTTGTATATTTTTACATAGATTTATTTCAACTGCAGGTTTGTCTATGTCTAGCAATCACCATAGCAAATTCCTCGTATTTGTAAAATACTACTTTGCAATGAAGATCTTTCTTATTCTGAGATATTTCAGTCTAGGCCAAAGTGGTGGAGTGACTGATCGACAAATTTAAATTTCAATTGCCGGTTGAATATTGACAATAAATACAACTTCACTTAGTACCTGTAGAAGTTTTTGAGCCTCCCTCTCTTTCTTAATCTCTTTCTCTGTTGGTCTGACAGCTGTTTCCTGAGCCGTGGTTGTTGGAACATCCCAGATCAGTTGTCCCACCTAAAGGATGAAAGCACCAAACGGTAATATAATGAGAAACCTACAGTGCAACTTCAGAGGACTGTCAGAAATTGAACTATTAATGAAGATACATTTGAAAGTGGTGCAGGGTTACAAAAAAAGAAGTCTGTCCACTAGGTAAAAACAGATGCATCTGGACAGTTGTTAAGAAGTCATTCACAGGATGAAACTGGATTTTTAAACCAGTCAAGACTCTGCTGTACCTGCTGTGCACCAGCTGAGAAATCAAGTGCTCGACGTGTTTTGGTGGCGGTTTGATGAGAGGGCTGTTGAGTTTCAGACACTGTAGAGAAAGAAGATGGTCACTGTTAAACAAAGCTGCATTGTTTTTCTAAGTAGTATTACCTGTTATGAATAAACTATAATTAAAATGCATACATGATGTGGTCGTCTCTATAGCTGCTTCTGTGGCTGCGGGCATCATTTGGGTGGTGGAGTATGGAGGCAAAGCCACATTCTGTCAGAGAGAGGTGGAAGAGGTGGAAGATATGTATAGTTTCTGACACTGCAGTTTATATTAATCAAACTAAATTTGTTTTAAAAATCCTAAACATTTACTATTAGATTAGATAGAGTCCAACAAGACTACAGTCATGCTAGCAGCTCTGTGCCACTGCACATTGGCACAACAAGCGTGGAGGACTAAGTGATCAACTAATAGACTGAAAGCTAGTTTTGCTTAAGAAAATAAAATAATTTGCACTATTAAAAGTTCAGTACCTTTAATAGCTTTTGAGCCTCCCTCTCTTCCTCCTTTTTTGGGACTGTTGTTTCCTGAGCTGTGGTTGTTGGAAGATCCCAGACCAGTGGCTCCACCTAAAGGATGAAAACACTTAGTGCAAGCTGGACAAGATCATAATATAATGATGCATCTGATCCACATACAGTATAACTTCACTGTCATCTTATTGATTTATTAATGAAGAAACAATTGAAAGTGGTGCAAGGTTACTAAAAATAATTATATTAAACAGGTAAAAATGCGTATATATGCATCTGGATGGTTGTACTTAAGAGTCCATTCACAGGATGAAACTGGATTTACTCTGCAGCAACACATTTAAACCCGTCGAGAATCTGCTGTACCTGCTGTGCAGCAGCAGAGAAATCAAGCCCTCGACAAGCTTTGGTGGTACTTTGATGAGAGTGCTGTGGAGTTTCAAATACTGAAGAGAAAGAAGATGGTCACTGTCAAATAAATCTGCTTTGAATCATTTCTACATGTTATTTCTTTTCTTGTCCTGTTATGAGTTAACACTTTATAGAGCATACATGATTTGTTTGTCTCCTTCACTGCAGGATTATTTTGGTTGCTGGGGGTCTGTGACACTGGCATCTTGAAAGGCTGTCAGAGGAAAGTGGAAGATTTTATAAATTTTACTCAACTTATTTTGCTAATTTTTTCTGTGCACTCAGTATTTCCATTACATTTTAACTTGTTTTTACAAATATATTGGTATCCTGTATTATCTCTTAATCGGTTTTGTATAATGGACAGCAACATGTCAGCTAAAATAATCATCTCTATTTGGCCTGAACTGATCATGCAAAAAAGTGATGCTTGCTACAAGACAGGGTTTCAGAAAAAGCAAACATTAATGTCCACATGCTTAAAAAAGTTGAGAATCTGCCGTACCTGCTGTGCACCCGTGGAGAAATCATGCGCTTGATCAACTTTGTCAAAGTTGGTGGCTGTTTGATGAGAGCGCTGTGGAGTTTCAAAAACTGAAGGCAAAGAACATGGACACTGTGAAACAAAGCTCCTTTGAACAGTTTCCACATGTTATTCCTGTTATGTTCCTGTTATATACAGTTATAGAGCATACATGATTTGCTTGTCTGCTTCATCATGACCTCTGAGGCGTCAGGATTCGCTTGGGTGCTGAGGGTCTGTGACACCGGCATCACAAATGGCTGTCAGAGAAAAGTGGAAGATAAGACATCATGGGTGTTATTCATGAAAGCTTTGCTTACTCCTCCTGATCACTCAATTTTTTCATGACACTTTAATCAGTTTTTACAAACACATTAACATATCCTATAATGTTGATTGTCCATCAACCAGTTTTGTGTAACATACAAGAAGTCAGGAATTGATTTTGCAATAAAAATAGGATTACAAAAATGAAAGGCAAACATAACAATTCTTTAGAGCAGAATGCATGATTGTTTAAACATGTCAGAAATCTGTTGTACCTGTTCACTACTGGAGAAATCAAGTGCTCGATGAGTTTGGTTTGAGTCTGTGGACAAGTGCTGTTGGGTTTCAAACACTGTAGAGAAAGAAGATGGTCTCTGGTAAACAAAGCTGCTTTGCTTTTCCAAGTGTTATTTCCTGTTAAAAATCTATAATGCATACATGATGTGAACATCTGCATTAGTGCGGCATCTGTTGTAATCATTTGGGTGGTGAGGTTTGGAGACACAGGCACATTCTGTGTGAGAGAGAGATGGGAGTTAAATTACAGTGTGTTTCTAGCTTAAATAAATATTACTTCTTTATTTAAAAAAAATAAAAAAAATAACCTATTCTTTAAAGTTTAGAAACACTGCTGTCTTGCATTAACTTAAACTATAACTTTATTATCCATAACAATGTTTGTATAACAGATGAATTTTTTTTTACTGAATTTATGCATTTTTTTAAGTCAGTCACATGTTGGGCCAATATAATCTCATTTTGCTTGAATACCTCCTTCCTGACTTGAGAGCTGTTAATTGGTCCGCTGTCCTGAGGTTCGTCCCATAGATTTCTCCAGACGTTCTGTTCAACCACTAAAACAAGACATTTTTCCGTTTTGTAAATGGTCTCTTTGAAGGTGTAAAACAAATGTGTGGTTCATTGTGCTGTGCAGTGAAATGGAGTTAACACTCATATGGGGGTGAAAATAATGACAGAATTGCCTTTCAGGCTTTCTTAAATGCACTTGATCCTTTCTGTGAAACAAGTATTGCCATTGCAGAGTAAACATTTATTTTAATGAGGCAAATTTTATTGTTATTTCCTACATTTAAACATATGCAGCAGGTGAATTAGAGGCTCCAGTGATACACACAGTAGCCTTTGTAATTATGGACTATGTATGGACACAATCAGCTGTGTGCTACTCACCAGACTTGATAGAAGGGGTGAAAATATTGGTAAAAGGCTCTTCTACTTTGATTGAAGGTCCCAGGTATGTATATTTCGGTAGGTAACTCCTTCTGAACTGTTCACTTTCAGGGATCCTCATCCCCTTTTGTGTGCACCCCATCTTCCCCTGGTGAGTCCTCAGGCCCTGGTAGGTCGTAACTTTGGACCATCCGCAGCAGTTGCAAACCTGGAGGCTCATGTTAGATATTGTACCAAACCTGGACACAAATGTGACATGATGTTTATTTTTACAGTGACCAATAACAGTGTTGTTTTTGTTTATTGTTGAAAGCATTCAATTTTATTTTTTGGGGCTGAAAGAAATTATTTTCAATCATTGTCCACAACAGGCTTTGTGGTCAGTCCAATGCAGCACTGTACTAATTCACATTTTAAGTTGCAAAGGTTTTGTACTAGGAAAGTACACATTTTTAGTACAAATATACTTTGTTTTGACATTGTTTTACCTATTTCTCTGCTTCACTTTAAAATCAGCACATCTGGCCCAAAGCTTTATCAGGGACAATTTGATAAGAAATGACACACCCAATTCAAAGATAAGATCAATTTATTACTTTAATTTCAATGTTGATTTATTTGATAACTGTGCTGTTTGCAACATGGGTGTAGGACTGAGATTAGACAGTGATTAGTCTCCCTCTAGTGGTAATGTACAGTACATAGTAGCAGGCTATCAACTCCTTCCTGCTATAAACTACACAAACACAACCAGAGCAAACCATGTCAGTGTCGTAAAGAGGTATTCCTGAAATGGGATTGAACTTTTAAGTGAGTAGGTATAGATAGATCAAACTTCATTGTCTCTGGAGGGAAATTTAGCAATGGTAACATTGCTTAAACGTTATTTCTTTTCGTCAAACTAACTGGATGTTGGACTAGAATGACTGAACATTAACTCAAGTAAGCAGTAGAACAACGTCTGAAACTTTCATTAGAGGAAACTTATTTCATGGAGAAAAAAAACAGCCTGTACACACTCCCCTCTGTTCCGTGTACACACCTTGAAACCTGTGGTTTACCACAAATATTTGCATTGCTGCCCAGCCCAGCACGTTTTCAGTCTTTTACTGTCACGCACTATCGTTTAATTAGTTTGCCCTGCTAATCATAGTGTTGTACAACCTGGGTAACTGCAGACCTTTATGTAGCCTATTGGTCACACTGAAATCGTTTATTGACACATTTGGTTAAATAAAGTAGCTATACTGACCTCAAATAACAATAATAATAATGTGATAGTTTTTGCTCCTCCCTGTCATTCTCCTTTATTGTTTCCTGTGTTGTGGTAGCTGAAAGCTTCTGGGCTTAAATAAAAATCTAAATAATTTATTTCACAGGTTTAACGGTTTTAATATTATCTTCTTCTTCAACAGAACATTATGATTTTATACAAACAGGTAAATAAGTCACTGAACCTCTAACCCGTTATGTGTTGTGTTGCATCATAACTCTAGAAGACATCTCACAGCACTTTCAACATCAAAATCAGATTAGATCTCCAGCTGCTTACCTTGCGCTCTCTAACGTCGATGCTCCTCTGTGTGACATGCATTTCATTGCAGTCTCGCCTTAAATGTGTTCATCGGGCTGTTTCACTTTCGCTTCAGCCAAAAGCATTCTGATGTTTTCCTGTAATCCTCTCTTATCCCAAATACCAGAACTGCTTAAAAATGTAGGCCTACATGATGTCTGACATGTTGATCTGAAGGAATTTAATCAACCAAGAGAAGAGAGTACCGGTCCGGAGTCAGTAATAGTGTTAATAATGAGTCTCATGCACAGAAAGGACACTGCTGACTTTGCCCTTTTTTTAATCACTATCCACCCATTTGTACATCAAAACATGTAATAAAAACACTTTGAGACACATTGTTAGGTCTATGTAACGTTTGTGTAACAGCAGCTACTGCTCAGAGCAAACAAAGATGAAAACCTCTGAATGTATTGAGCAACAGTGTGTATTACTGCTTGCGTATTCAACGTTTTTTATATATAAGAGGAACACAATGCTCCTCTACAGTCTCACTTTGAATAATCTGCTTCTGTTTTTTTGTTTTTAAGAAAAAAAAGAAAATGCAAGCAAGTTATGTATTATCTATCTTCTGTAACCCCACACTGCTACACACAAGTTTTAGTCACTCTCCTGTGGACTCTAGGGAGACTAGCTATAATAAATCTGGTACACATTGAAATACATTGCTGATAAAACTTATGTTTGTATATTATTACATCAGTCAAAACCATAAAAAAAATACATTAAGTTCAGTTTGCTCACTGAAAGGAATATTCACCCTGTTAATGTATAATATCTTCTATCGCTCTTGGGGGCTGCTTTGTCAGGTGCATTATGGGAAATGTAGGATCCAATGTTAACTTAAAGACATAAGAAATAAAAAAGACCTCCCATGTGTCCCCTTTAACAAACAAAGCTTTAACAAAAACCATTAACCATTAAACACCAACATTAAGGTGGCTGCACACACACACACACACACACCCATATAAAAATGATTAAACATAATTACTGGTGTTTCACAGTTGAGAGAATCAGAGGATCAGCTCTTTCACCATCTACAAGGTGCAAACTGAAATAAGGGTAGATCTCTCCAGTGAATGAACAATCAGTAAACGAGTAGATGTGAGATTGAGCCGTCACATCGTAGAAGGACACAAGACCTTCCTCGTAGTCCACAAACACTCCCACCTTCGCAGGTTTCTCTTTCAGGGAAAGACGAACTGGTGGTGCTGTCAGGGCTGCGTACTTTTCATCTTCATAATGTGCAATAACCCAGTAACCATTGCCTGGGTTCAGCAAGAGTTTCTCCTTGCGGTTGGCATCACGCTTTGCCACACCCAGATCCCATCTGGTATTCTTGCTGACAACAGCCTCCCAGTATGACTTCCCAGAGGTCAACCTGTTGAGCCCCAGGACGCTTCCAGACCTCCCTGGAGCATCTGGAGCTTCCTGTTTTTCTCCTCCACTACTCACTTTTTTCCCATCAGCAGCAACAAGGCATCGGTTTGCGGTGGTTGGATCCAGCTTGACATCCACTAGAGTTAAGGTCAAACAACAAGACAAAACTGAGTCACTTGGTGCTAGTCTTTGTAAATTTTTCACAGCCTTTCTTTTTGTCCATATTCACACATACATCAAAATAGTCTCCTGAAGAATACATTGGATTTGCCTTATTTTACTGTTTAGACATTTTTTTGAAATACACACCTGCAAACTTGGAAATCCATTTCAGTTCTGTGGGGAAAATATACTAATGTGTTAGTCAATTAGTGATTGTAAATTACAATTATATAAATGCAATACAGAACAAGTAAAATCTAAGGATTGGTAAAGTGGAGTCACCAATAGATGCAAGTTCTTCCAGTTTCTGGCGAATTTGTTCCATCATGCTTGATGTTGCTCTGAAAGTACGGATGGAAAATGAAAGGTCTGCAGACTTCTGCTTAGCATCCTCTACAACTCTCACCACCTCTGAGAGCACACCGTTGATCTCCAGCCACTCAGCGTTCAAGCTGCCCTGAAAAGGGTGACAGACAGTGCTTACAGCAGTGTAAGTATCAAAAGATATCGGAACAAAAGAATAATATACCAAACTAAACAGTTCAAAATCTCTGCAGGAACCTACATTTACCGATTATCTACCTTGAGCCACCTTTTGTTCTCTCATCTGAGTTTTGTGTTTTACGTCAGCTGTGATTCTGTCCTGTCTTACCTTGATCAATTTTACACAACAGCGCATTTAAGTAAGTATGTGCAGGCACCACTTCAATCAAACGTATCTATATGTACAAGTAGAATGGCAGCACTGACACTCACAAAACCAAATGTGAAGAAGGAGAGGGATTAGTTTAAACCTACACAATGTTAATAACTGAATTTGAAAGATTTAAGTTAGTTAGATCCAGACTTTAGAAACAGGTAAATGGCAGGTAAACAGCAATGTCATGTGACTCCTTAAGCAAATGAGTACAGAAAGGAAACTGATCCTCTGAGTGATACCAATAGTTGTCACAGTTTGCTCCTCAGCAACACACTATCATCCCCAGCCTTCTGTATCTGTTCTGTCTCTTGGGCCATAACAGTAATAAAGCGGAGCCAGGACCGACATTTCCGACACTAGAGCAACACCAGCGTAGCTAAAAACAGTACAATCTAGGCACTGGTGCTGTACCTGTGATAGGTTTTTATCCTCCCACTCTTGCTCCTTTGGGTGGACTGCTCCTTCCTGGGCTGTGGTAGCTGAAAGTGTTTGGGTTAAACGCTTCACCTGAAAGATAACAAGCACTTAAGTATTTAACTAACTTATTAATGATTATATCCTAGCAACCACCTCAAACCCTAACCACCTGTAAACACGCTAGCTATCATTTTGATATTTTTTATTTTTATGCAATCATATAACAAACTATAGAATTAAGATGGCCTGCATCTGATTAACTTTTATTAGTGAATTACACAAGTAATACTAAATCTATAGTCTCTAAAGTGTATTATGTTTTTTTTTTTAACTTTCTGGTTCCTTAGTGATATGAAAAAATTGATTTATAGAGAGTCCACTACCTTTTGTTCCTCTTGGTGTTTCCCCTTGGGTCGGACTGCTGTATTCTGGGTTGTGTTAGTTGAAAACATCCAGGCCAATTCCTTCACCTGAAACATTCAATGCAAGTTGGACACAGATCAGTAATGAAAACATACTGTAATAACAATTTATGATTGTTCGGAAAAGTGCAATGGAGAAACATTAAACCAAAGTGTGCATGTAACAACGCACTGTTTAAAAATAGTCTATCAGGCTGAATGTGTTATAAGTAGTTGATGACCTTCCAGAATTTCAAAATTCAGCTGTACCTTCACACGAGTGGAGAAATTTGAGAGCTGTGCAGTTTCAGACGCTGTTGAAAGAGAGAATGGTCACTGTCCCACACATTTCCTTTATTCTCCTTATTATCTATTAATTAACCATTATACATACATGATGTGGGATCCTCCTCAGCTATGGCTTCTGCTGATGCGGGATTCACTTGGATGGCAGCACTTTCTCGCACATTCTTTCAGAGAGTGGTGAAAGGTTTTTAATATCTGAAGCATTTGCTAGAATACCTTTTCCTGCTTTGCAAAAATGTATTTGTGTATTTTGTTATTTAACCTGCACTGATATTTCTAATACAACATTCGTGATTTTCTTGGGATATCACTTTGTTATTTTGTCGTTACAGTATATATTCTAAGCCTGCAACTAATGATTATTTTTATCAGTGATTAATCTGCTTATTATTTTTTAGATAAAGCAATTCATCAATAAACTGGGAATAATGCCCATGGTCCAATGGGTCGTCATCAGATGTCTTGTTTGGTCTGAACAACAGTCTAAAACCAAAAGAGATTCAGTTTGTAATGATGGAAATCAGAGAAAATCAGCAAATCTTTACACTGGAGAAGCTGAAAACTGAAAGAAGGTTTGAGGTTTTTGCTTGAAAACAGACTCAAATGATAAATACTGTCTAATATTGGGGTTCATCTTCTGGGAACCATTACTGTCAGTACAAAATGTCATTGCAACCCATCTAACATTTGTTGATGGTGGACCAACTGATGGACATTGCCATTGATTCAATGCAATACAGGTACGAACCTGTGATGGTTTTTGCTCCTTTATTGTTTCCTGTGTTGTGGTAGCTGAAAGCTTCTGGGCTAAATGCGTCACCTGAAACATAGTAAGCACTCAAGTATCCAACAAATAAATTCCAAAAACAGAAAGGTCACAAAGAATGAAATAACAAACTATTAAAATACAGGACTGACCACTTTCTGTATTCTACCAAAGCTTCTCCCATCTGGCACCTCAGGTAGTTGAAAAGTACCATTTACAGAGGGTCTTACCTCTGACAGTTGTTTTACCTCTCTGCATTTCCTCTTCTGTCGAACTGCTGTTTCCTGTGTTGTGGTAGCTGAAAACGTCATGACCAGTTCCCTCACCTGAACATGTTAAACATGCAGTGTAACATTATAAACTTTACTGCACTATTAGCAGGGAAACCAACTACAACAGTGTGCACATAACATCAAAAACCCAAAAGGGAAATATAAGAACTAAAGAGGCAAAAGTGAAAGTTGAATGTGTTTCCAGTTGTTGTAAAATTAGTTTTTCACCACAAAACATTCTAATGAATCAAGATTCAGCACAATAGGTACCTTCATGCCTGTGGAGAAATCAGGATGTGTAGTTTTACACACTGAAAAGAAAGAAGACAGTAACTGCTTTGCTTTTTTGATTATTTAGCAATCCCATGTGTTATAAATAAAACCATACTACTACTTACATGATTTCTGATCCTCCTTTGTTGTGGCCTCTGCTGCTGCAGAATTTGTTTGGGTGTTGGTACTAGCTGAATCTGGGACACTCTGTCAGAAAGAGGTGGAAAGTAAATCATATCTGAGTCATTCCACATGGATAAAATGTATATTTGATGAAGGCTTTTTTCAATATAGTTTCACACTGTTGTGTTTATTTGTATGACAAATTCCTTTACACTAATATCTTTTTCTTTTTAGGGCATTGTCTGATCTCATACATTCAATATCCACCATCAGTTTGCTTAAAGTTTCATTAAACAGAATGAAAACAGAATAATTTTAAGTGGCAGCAATAATTGCACGTTACAGTACTTTTTTAATGGTTGATTTGATATCTGATCAATCAAACTGCAAATCCACGGTGAAAAGTAACAAAATGTTTCTGTTTACCTCGCGGGCTCTCTCTGCCGGTCTGATTTCACTCATGTTTTCCCCTCTCTCCTTAATTGTCTGCTGTAATTCAGATTTAAGTCTCTCTTGCCTTGCCTTGAATGAAAACACAAACACACACACACACACACACGAATAACGAATGTCTTGTCAATTCACAGTTGAATACAAAGTGCCTGTTGACAAAGTTGACAGTTGACACAATTCCCAATGCTGAAGTTGAAGCCAAAGGTGACGGATGTGTCTGTGTCACAGCAAATAAAAAATGCTCATTAGCAGTTTTTAATATGCTTTATGTTCTATATGCTATATTTGGGGTTTTAGTCAGGACAACATAAAAGTGATAACAATCACAGAAAGCCCTGCGGAGCAAAATACGGTAGTAATCTTTACTCCCACACAGTGCTCGTGAATCATTTCACCAGTTCGCAGGTATCTATTTTTAGGAGCATATGCAACTAAATTGGTCCTATTGTAGAGCCCAATAGCATAGCATTTTGAAAGCTGACACACAAAAACACACACACACACAGTTTTTAACTTTAAACACTTATTGTAAAAGAATATTTTAATGTAGGGCTGGGGCGATTCGTAAATACGTCAACTCGCATTACATGGATTGAAGCTTCGCTGTATCCGGCAGGGATTCCCCCCACTCCGTCTTTGACCGTCTAAAGTTTGGGAGTATTTTAGACAGACATTCAACAACGTACTGCTCCGTGACCTCTGTAAATTGGAAATAGCTTCACTGCAACACAACTGCTATCCATGAATATGTAAAGGGAAATGAACACGTAAAGTGAGCACTTTGACGTCAACGACAGCATCGTAAATTACTTATTGCTTCATCGCCTTCATGTTAAAAGTAATTTCTGCCCTTCTGCTGTCATTATAACGTAACGTTACACCGTGTGTCAACTAACGTTTGGCCATTTCATATTTTCCACGTATGAGCGAGAAAACAGCTGAAGTAACATTACAGACAATCTGTGACTGTCTGCAGAGTCTGTGAATTGTTTCAGTTGTTTTCTTTGCCCCACACTGATGCAGAAATACATTTGATTATCATACTGCATATTACTCAATATTGAAATAAATCCATGTCAGAAACATTTAAAGTTTTAAGTAAAGTAGCCTAATTAATGTCTTTTATTATTATTATCACAGCAAATCAGTGACGTGGAATTTGGATTAATTTTAAGATATGATGCTATTGTCATTATGCTAATGTAATTGATTGAATAAAATATTGATTGGACATTTTTGTATTTATTTGGGATAAATTGGTATGTTAATCGAGTAATATGCAACATTTTTTTTATTTAGAATTCACATTAGTAGTTAGATAAATCGACAAATCGAAAAATTTATCGTTAGATTAACTGACTTGAAAAATAATCATTATGTACAGCCCTATTTTAATGTAAAATGAATTACAACAGTTTCTGGTACATTAAACACTTACTTAAATTTACTTTAATTTAATTTATGGCATTTGCTTTTTCAAGAAAATTTTCATTCTGGTTAAAGATTAATTGTTTGACTTTTGTCATTTGATGGCAGTTTTCGGTTTTGTATTTTGGTGGTTGTCAGGGAACAGATAGAAGAAAAATTGCTAAACTGTGAGCCGCAGTTGCTCTGTTCCGTGTTGGCATGCTGACAGAGGTAAAATCTCAGAACATAATTGGCACTAAATGTTGAGTAAACCTTCAAAACGCTGAAAGTGCAGTTAAGCGTGTCCGATGTATGTGTCACAACAAGGTCTAAAAATACTCATAAGCAGTTGTAACTCAACTAAGTTCACTCATGGTATTAAACTGACTCAAGCAACGTTTCCCATCCTGCGAAAATCTAAATTTCAATGTAGGTTTTTGAACACTGAAGAGTTTAGTACCTGTGATAATGTTTGATCCTCCCTGTATATTTTCTTCGGTTTGACTACGGCTGCTGGAGATGTGGTTGCTGGACACTCCCTGACCAACTTCTTCACCTGAAAGATGTTAAGCACTCAGTAATGCAATACTGATAATTTACCTATTAAAACAGTGGTATATTTAACAATCACCAAAATGATAAGTAAAGCAAGTAGATAAAAAAGGATAAGGATAAAGTACCTATAAAAAACATAACATAAAAACATGTCTAAAACAAACAGTTAAGTACCTGTGATGGTGTTTGTTGCTTCCTGTCTTTCTCCTTAGGTCGAACTACAGTTACTGGGTATGTTGGTGTGGGATGCTCCCTGACCGATCTATTCATCTGAAAGATGAAATGAAACTAATAATGAATGTGCTGCCTGCACACTGACGGCTTTGCTATATTTGGAGGTTTTAGTCAGGACAACATAGAGGTGTTAACAAATACAGAAAGCCCTGCTGAGCAACTGAAAATTGTAATATAGGGTTTTAAACAGTAAATGGTGTAATTATCACAGTGTAATACCTCTGATAATGTGTGATCCTGTCTGTCCTGCTCCTTAAGATGACCTACTGGTGCACGAGGGGGAGCTGTTGGACGCTCCCTGCTAGATTGATTCACCTGAAAAATGTTAAATTGAAATAAATTTACTTTTCAAAACAATCACAGAAACAATAAAGGCAACAGGCGCATGCCACAAGAGGCTTGGGTTTAGAAAAGAATTCCAACAAATCTTCTTACCTGCACACCAGCAGAGAAATCCTGCAGCTGATGGCTTGCTCTTGAGTTTGTGTCTTTCCGGAAAGGCTGCTGCGGAATTGCTAAAGCTGTAATATAAGGAGATAGTCTCAGACTTAGCTGCTTCATTTTTCAGTCTGTACCCAAAATCTTGTGTTGACTGAATTATAACCCTGTACACACGTGATTTGGGCTCCTCCTTGATTGTGGCTACAGAGTTGCAGCTTGGTGACACTAGCACATCCTGACAGTTAAAGGTAAAGAGTCAAAGGGTGTTAAGACACAGTTGTTAACTTTAAACACTTACTTTTAAAAGCACATTTTAATGTCAAATGAATTCCATCATTTTCTGTTTCATTAATTGCTTATTTAATTTTATTGTAATGTAATTTATGGCATTTGCAATTGAAAGACATTTACATCCTGGTTAAAGATTAATTGTTTGGTTTTGTATTTTGTTTGTTCTTGATGGAACAGTTATATGCTGTACCTGCATACCAGCGGAGAAATCATACAGCTGACGGCGTGACTTTGATTTTGTGGCTATTTGAAAAGAGTGCTGTGAATTAGTAAAATCTATGGTAAAAGTAGAAGGTCAGTATCATGCTTAGCTGCTTTATTTTTCGGATTGTTGTGCAAACTCTTGTATTGACTGAACTATAATCCTGTACATACGTTCTTTGCATTCCACCTTAATTGCAGCTGCTATTGCCGCAGAGCTGCTGCAGACTTTGATGCTTGAGGACGTCGCCACATTCTGTCAGGTTAAGGTGAAAGTTGTAAAGTAAGTTGATATTACTTATACCAATGTCACAATAATGATGGCAACTGCTGAATATATACCTGAAATAATGAATGAGTTATAGTCAAATGGATTATCCACATAATGAAGACTCAGTGACAACAGTGAACTGTTGTGGTGGCGTAAAAAAAAAAGCTGGACTTTTACACTAAACGCTAACACCAGAATGCTAACAGGCTCACAATTACAATACTAATATCCAGATGGACCAACCAACAGAGAGTCATCACTGCGACTGGCTACTACTTTTTTAAACTGAATTTGGCTGCCTTAAATATCCCTCTTGTAACTACTAGATCGTGTACCTCCTTCTTGACAGTCATTCTCTTAGCAGGCTGATGTTTCCTTTCATCCACTTCTTCCCACTCATTTGTCCACACGTACTGCTCTTTCTTTGGGGTACTTGCTGCCTTCGGTGTGCATCCCATCTTCCCCTGGTGAGTTCTCAGGCCATGGTAAGTCGTCACTTTGGACCAGCCACAGTGACAAACCTGGAGGCTCAAGTCGGAACAGATGTAGTCTGTTGTATCTGTTGAGACATAATTGAGGGTTGGATTTCGACCACATCTATTCTTGCAAGATTTTAAACCATTTTTGCTAACTAAGTAATGTTCATTTTTGGCATTTTTTATTTACCAATTTGTTGTTTTTTTACCGCTCATCCCACTGATCTGGTCTTGTTATTTAGTATGTGTTGTTTGTGGCAATGTGAGGAATGAACACAACGTGTAATCAGGAATCTTTGTGCATCACCCACCAGTCTTGATAGAGGCGTAGACATCCAGACGCAGGTCCTTTTGATTGTTTGTAAACCCCACATTTCCCCACATGTACTGCTGTTCACTCTTCTCAACCTTCACACCCCTCTTTGTGCATCCCATCTTCCCCTGGTGAGTTCTCAGGCCATGGTAAGTCGTCACTTTGGACCAGCCACAGTGACAAACCTGGAGGCTCATGTCGGAACAGATGTAGTCTGTTGTATCTGTTGAGACATAATTGAGGGTTGGATTTCGACCACATCTATTCTTGCAAGATTTTAAACCATTTTTGCTAACTAAGTAATGTTCATTTTTGGCATTTTTTATTTACCAATTTGTTGTTTTTTTACCGCTCATCCCACTGATCTGGTCTTGTTATTTAGTATGTGTTGTTTGTGGCAATGTGAGGAATGAACACAACGTGTAATCAGGAATCTTTGTGCATCACCCACCAGTCTTGATAGAGGCGTAGACATCCAGACGCAGGTCCTTTTGATTGTTTGTAAACCCCACATTTCCCCACATGTACTGCTGTTCACTCTTCTCAACCTTCACACCCCTCTTTGTGCATCCCATCTTCCCCTGGTGAGTTCTCAGGCCATGGTAAGTCGTCACTTTGGACCAGCCACAGTGACAAACCTGGAGGCTCAAGTCGGAACAGATGTAGTCTGTTGTATCTGTTGAGACATAATTGAGGGTTGGATTTCGACCACATCTATTCTTGCAAGATTTTAAACCATTTTGGCTAACTAAGTAATGTTCATTTTTGGCATTTTTTATTTACCAATTTTTGTTTTTTTACCGCTCATCCCACTGATCTGGTCTTGTTATTTAGTATGTGTTGTTTGTGGCAATGTGAGGAATGAACACAACGTGTAATCAGGAATCTTTGTGCATCACCCACCAGTCTTGATAGAGGCGTAGACATCCAGACGCAGGTCCTTTTGATTGTTTGTAAACCCCACATTTCCCCACATGTACTGCTGTTCACTCTCAACCTTCACACCCCTCTTTGTGCATCCCATCTTCCCCTGGTGAGTTCTCAGGCCATGGTAAGTCGTCACTTTGGACCAGCCACAGTGACAAACCTGGAGGCTCATGTCGGAACAGATGTAGTCTGTTGTATCTGTTGAGACATAATTGAGGGTTGGATTTCGACCACATCTATTCTTGCAAGATTTTAAACCATTTTTGCTAACTAAGTAATGTTCATTTTTGGCATTTTTTATTTACCAATTTGTTGTTTTTTTACCGCTCATCCCACTGATCTGGTCTTGTTATTTAGTATGTGTTGTTTGTGGCAATGTGAGGAATGAACACAACGTGTAATCAGGAATCTTTGTGCATCACCCACCAGTCTTGATAGAGGCGTAGACATCCAGACGCAGGTCCTTTTGATTGTTTGTAAACCCCACATTTCCCCACATGTACTGCTGTTCACTCTTCTCAACCTTCACACCCCTCTTTGTGCATCCCATCTTCCCCTGGTGAGTTCTCAGGCCATGGTAAGTCGTCACTTTGGACCAGCCACAGTGACAAACCTGGAGGCTCAAGTCGGAACAGATGTAGTCTGTTGTATCTGTTGAGACATAATTGAGGGTTGGATTTCGACCACATCTATTCTTGCAAGATTTTAAACCATTTTGGCTAACTAAGTAATGTTCATTTTTGGCATTTTTTATTTACCAATTTGTTGTTTTTTTACCGCTCATCCCACTGATCTGGTCTTGTTATTTAGTATGTGTTGTTTGTGGCAATGTGAGGAATGAACACAACGTGTAATCAGGAATCTTTGTGCATCACCCACCAGTCTTGATAGAGGCGTAGACATCCAGACGCAGGTCCTTTTGATTGTTTGTAAACCCCACATTTCCCCACATGTACTGCTGTTCACTCTCAACCTTCACACCCCTCTTTGTGCATCCCATCTTCCCCTGGTGAGTTCTCAGGCCATGGTAAGTCGTCACTTTGGACCAGCCACAGTGACACACCTGGAGGCTCATGTCTGGCTTGTGTCTATATAAATCACATGACACAGAATGTGTTAATGTATTAATAATAATTATTCCGTATTACAATTTATAACAATTGGACCCTGGCAGAGCATAGTGCATTTATTTTTACTATAATGTACTATAAAGAGTTTTGTGATACTATTTACACAAAATGTACATAACAGTTTTGAACGTTTACTGGTAATGGAGTATTTTTACAGAGTGGTATTTCTACTTTAATTTACTTACTACTTCAATAAATTAAGGATCTGAATACTTCATCCACCACTGACAATACAAACATTTTAAGGTAACCGAGCAAGACTGGGAACACATATTTGTGATTCCAATTCCATTAATCGAATGTTTCATTATTAAAAGTGGCTTAATTTGCCATTTATTATTCTTATATACATATGTAAATGAAAACAAATATGTACTGCTTCCTGCTTTCTGTGTTTTATGTCATAGTAAATTTATTTTTGGACTGCTATTCAGACATCACAAGCACACCAACCATTCTAATTAATTGTCAGCATTTATAATTATAACTTATTTAAAATGTATCACTCTTCATAGATGTTTGCAGCTATATTCAGTAGGTTAATGGAGTTGTGAAGGCTGCTAATTATAGCATGAGTTAGGCCACTTACCAAAAAAACGAATTTTAGTCCTGTCCAGGTCAGCTTAATCTGGTCGTGAGAATTAAACTGATTTAATATCGCCACAAACATCGTGGAGACCAAAAGTCTCTAAGATGACCGTTATTTTGACCTACTTGTCATGCCGGTAACAATCAAAATCAAGCTGGCTCAAAAACTTGCGCCCTGCACGAACTCAGCTAATTAATTAGCATTATAACGACCCAGAGATTAGAAAATGTATTAATATCTTCCCTACCTTGTCGTCTTCTTTTGTGCTCTGTTGCCTCCCTGCTTCTACAAATATTTCCTTTCTCTTTGTGCTTTAAGTTTCGTTTCTGAAGAAGAGAGGCGCCAACCGCCTCTTTTTTGTCAGACTAAAGCACATGATTTTTACCACACTGTAAGAGTGTTGCATGTGCAATAAAGATCTGTTCAAATGGTGGATTTAAAAAAAGAACCAGAACCAGATGCAAATTGAACATTTTCATTTCATCTTTTTATTTTGAGATTTAAAAATTAATAATTACAGCACATTTTGTAAATAATCAAACGATATTGTAGTCCACAAACACACTTGACATTTCAATCTAAGTTGATTTTCCCACCATCACCTTAAACTGCAACCCAGAGCCTGTGTAAAATGTACTAACATGCTTGAAGGCAACTGGTAGATCAATAGATTCTTTATCCATCATTGTGATTAAGTCATGTATTTATAAACTTCTAAGAGGGTATGTTTGGTCATGGATTATAGTGAACAGGTAATGGATAAACACATGAATGCATTTAACTTTGGCTGTGATGGTGGGTCATATGACAGCATGAGCTCAAGTCTTCAGGTTTGTTTATGAAAGTTCACCCTGGTTTTACAGCATGTTCCATTTTGAACAAGGCCATGGAAAATATAAATGGTCAGTTATATATGCATTAAATTTGTATAAAAGAAAACCAAATTTTTTTATTTAAAAACTCGTGTTTTGCTTGTTTCTTCGCATTTCACCCTCACCTGTAGTGTAGTGTAAAGTCATTGGCAGGACTGAGTAGCTATCACCCCACCAAAGCACTCATGCACTAATGTGCGTCCTTATGCATGTGCTTAATAAAGTATTTCTCTGTAACACTACTAGCAGTCACTCTACAATGTACCAAAAATACGTAATAATTAAGTATTATTAAGTATTATAATTAATTTTTAAAAAGTGGATTTAATTACACCACCACCTTTGGTTGAACAGCCCCCTTTTCCCCCTCTCCCAGACAACTCACACATTCTTAGGACATTTCTACGTCCTGCAAACAATGTGACACAGCAGAAATTATCAAAGGATCAGTGTTTCTCTCATCTTGTTTTGCATGTGGACTAAAATATGGGAAGAGCTTGTCATTGAACAAACACTCAGTAAACGAGTAGATGTGAGATTGAGCCGTCACATCATAGAAGGACACAAGACCTTCCTCGTAATCCACAAACACTCCCACCTTCGCAGGTTTCTCTTTCAGGGAGAGGCGAACAGGTGGTGCTGTCAGGGCCGCGTACTTTTCATCTTCATAATGTACAGTAACCCAGTAACCATTATCTGGGGTCAGCGAGAGTTTCCCCTTGCGGTTCGCATCGCCTCTTGCCACACCCAGATCCCACCCCGTCTTGTTGCTGACCTCCACCTCCCAGTATGACTTCCCAGAGGTCAGCCTGTTGAGCCCCAGGACGCTGGCAAACAGATCAAACCTCTCCGAAGCATCAGCTACTTCTTGGTCTTCTCCTCCATCTTTCACTTCCTTCCCATCAGCGGAAAGAACAAGACGTTGGTGCGCGGTGGATGGATCCAGCTTGACATCCACTGTTAATTACACGTTGAAAATAATTATAAGATCTTAACTATTTTTTTAAGATGACTGTCAGAAGAAACAGATTATATGACGCACCTGTAAACTTTGGAAGTCTCTGAAGTTCTGTGAAGTAAAGAAATAGTTTTAGATGAAATAAGCAGACAAACGTTTATAACATTTACCACCATGATCTGACACTCACCAGTGGAGGTAAGCTTCTCCAGTTCCTGTTGAATGTTTTCCAACATGGTAGTTGTGGTTTTTCTCATGGTACCAAAAGATAGTGATGTGTCAAGCTCTACCTCTGTCCATTCTTTGATGTTGTCCAGGTCTTGAAGAGATGGGTAACTCTGACACAGGGAAAAAGTCAAACAAAGAGGAAGTTAACACGTGAATAAGATCTAATTATACAACCCACAATGATTGAGGGATGTGAAACTGGCTGTACAGTTGTGTTGAAACTGTCAGCCAAACATTAACCTTCACCTGCAGAAAAAGGATGTGATCCTCAAGCGCAGATATATTGTCCAGCTCAGAAATGGTCTTCTCAAGTACGCTGATTTCGGCTTCCAACTCCTCTATGAGGCTTTTTGCCTCTTTCTCTACAACCTGCCTCCTGTCCTTCAGTGGCTGAAGAGCTCTCGCCTGGGCAACCTCAACAATAGCAATCACAGCTGCGAACACATTCTCAATATCCCACCACTCATTATCCACCTGGTCCTGAAAATAGGAGAAAAGCATGTGTTGTCCATTAGACATTTTACCTTTTTTCTGTCTCATACTTTGCACTCAGGGTTTGACTTTAACAAAACTGGGAGAAATGCTACTTATACCACAACACTGATGGTCGTTGATTAGTCCAAAATCTGTGAGAAGAAACATTTGCCTCAAGTGTCAAGTGTCTGTTTCTACAACAACACTAGTGAGAATTTGACTAAATCTGTATCAAGTATTTTCTGGAATAGGTTTGGTGTTTAAGAGCTAAACAAACTGTCCTGATGGGAATGCTGTAAATACGTGGGGTCAAGAATTACATTCAGCTACCACTGTCAGTTTTGTGGTTAGGGCTTTTCAATCCAGGACAATCCATGGTGAGTAATGTTTGTGTCCCTTGCAGCTTACCTTGCAACTCTGTAGAGATGTATTAATTTCATCCACCCGTGTTTTTCTCTTCCTTATTTTCTGTTGCAACTCTGTCTTTGTGTTTTCGAGCTTAGCCTGTAATAAACAAAAAGGCAAGTCAAAGATCCCAACCTCAAGCATTTTTCTTTTCATTTTACACGCTGGGATTTAACATGATGTATAAAACCACTTTATACGCAGAGATCTCATTTGTTTTTGTTGGCTTGTTTGCAGTTCTATCAATGTATCCAACATACCACACTGGATTAAAGTAAATATGCATCAAGACTAGAATTTATAAACATACACGACTGGGCCTTTCTTAAGTTAATTCACCTTCTTCTTGTTCCATTCATCTTCACTAGAAACAACCTCCTCCTGACCTTCTTCCATACAGCGTACACAAATGCATCTCTCCTTCTTCCTGCTGTACAGCTCTAAGGGGCGTCCATGCTGCAGACAGGCCCTCTCGTCCAAGTTGTCAACAGGTTCCACCAACTTGTGGCCCTTCAGTCTTTCAGTTGAAGAATGATTCTCCAGGTGGGCTGTACAATACGAGGCAAGACACACAAGGCAGGACTTTATAGCCTTCAGCTTTCTCTCTGTGCAAATGTCACAGGCCACTTCGCCAGGCGCCCCAGTGTACTCATCATCGTCTTTCTCCACGGTCTTTTTCATCTGTTCGACAATGTTTCTCAGGATGATGTTAACGTTTGGCATTCTGTTCTGATGCTGCTTGCATAGGGGGCACACTGTGTCGTTGTACATAAAGTTGCGGTTTAGACATTCCTTACAAAAGGAGTGGCCACACGCTGTAGTGACAGGATCCACAAATGGATCCATGCAGATTGAGCAAATTAGATGTTTTTCCAGTAAGCGGGGCTCGCTGGGTGATGCTTGAGCGGAGGCCATATCTGCTTAAAGAGAGCATTATGAGGTTACTCAATTAGAAATGTTATGCATCATATTAAAATGTTGGTCACGTCTGGCATTTCAAAGATGGTAACTGCAGATGTTTTTGCTTTGTACTCAAATATGTGTCTAAATGTACCATGAATAATTGATTACTGAAAGTGAAAAGAGCATGTAACTTGTTGGACAGCATCGACTGTTGCCATAAAGGGGCAATTACAGGATAATAGTAAAACATTATATAACATAACATTACATAACAATATAAGAGTAAATGTCAGTGAATTTACTCTATTTTCTAGTGTAAGCTACACAGTAATATCTAGTTCAAATTTGCTAACACTTTGAGCTATTGGTCATACCAGAGCAGCAAAACCCTTGAGTGTGCTGAATTGAGTAAAGTTGTCATTATTGCTTAATTCAACTTTTCATTTAAGAGGAAGAGCGAGATTGTGTTATTTCCTCTTTCAAAAGTTAAGAAAGTATTGCTTTTCAGTTGTTGATCGATCAGTGTATTGGTGTTTGACATATCTGTGCTTTAATTATGCAGTAAGTACTTGCAATCTGACAATTAAACTCAACAGATTTAACATACGGGGTATCAACCTACTCTAATGGCCAATATGTACACTATGTACAGGTAATAAAAAGATTATTTTGTATGTCATAATTTATTTGGCTTTTTATTGGACGATTTCAAAAGTGAAGATGACAAAGGATAATTCATTCTGCACAACAAGGAAACATAGATACCGGTGCAGCTCTAAGGTATTACTGGTGACACACCCACTGGATAATTCAGCCATTCAGTGTGTGTTAAATCCCAATAGCAGAAAGCTACAAAAGCGTTGAGACTAAATGAACAAACACTTTCCCCACACCATTACCGAGGTAAAAGCCCCTGTCTAAACCACCACAGTGAACCCACTGGAGTTTAATTTAACATAAGTTTAAGTTCTTCACACTGTAAAGTAATCTCTATTAAAACAAGTAATTGGTATTAACCAGTAGTCAGCTGAGGTTAGAAGAGTTAAAGCAATGATCTGTTGATTTAAGAAGCATATCTAAAAGAATGTTATGTGATTTAAAAAAAAACCTTAGATGTGTATAATGTGTATGTGTATAGTATTACCTTTCAGCAATTGAGATGATCCTTATGTCAGGCTTCTTTCTCGTTCTCTCTTTACTCCCACCTAGTGTGTGCGTGTCCTTCACTTTAGACTTCCTCTCTCTGTTAAGTTTCATTTCTTTTTAAAAGCTCTCTCACTGACTTCCTCTCCACAGAAAGAGGCACGTCATCATGCAAATAAGCAACCAAATCAATCTTTTCTGTCTGCTGCAGGGTGTGCTGCTTGTTGAGCAAGTTCACACACA